TGATGGAGGGTGATTTGCCCCGACCTCATCATAGGGAGACACGTGGGCATGACTCAGCATAAGTGAGCTCAGCGCGACCAGTCCGCTATGGTCTAGCGTGGCAGTTCGGCACCAGATGACACTCCGATTATCCCGAACTCCTCCCAAGTAAACGAGCCCCTGAGCTCCTCCCAAGTAAACGAGCCCCCGGCCTCCTCCCAAGTAAAGGAGCCTCCGAGCTCCTCCGCTGTAAGGAGCCACGATGTCCTCCTCAAGAAGGGAACACCCCGAGCTAAGATTCTTCCACAGGCATCCCAAGCCAAGGTACTGCAAGACAGGGATCTCCCGAGCTCAAGGCACTTCGGGGTGTGCTCGGGAGCCACCTAATAAATTTGTTCCGACTGGCCTAAGTAGGCTGCCTCGGGTAGAATCACCTCAGTATGGCACCTCCAGCTCAGCATAGGGTAGCTCGGTGCAAAGTAGCTCGCAGGAAGACAGCTCGGCATATCACAGGAAGATCTCCCCTGACAACCGTACCTACCAAACCTATAGCCCTGCACCCACGTCTCTCACCAGGTGGCGTCGTGCCTGCCAAAGTTGAGAGGTGTCCCCCGCTTGACAGAGTCGTACCCTACAATAGTGACCTGCGCAGCCCTGGCAAGTAACGACTGTGGCAAGGAATCAGTGGCAGTTATGTCAGATTTGATAGGGCACCATTATATAAGAACTCCAACCCCCAAAGAGCAAAGGTAATTGCATTCATGCTATCTGCACTCTAGCTTTCTTCATCATCTCTGCAATCTCCTCTCTTAGAGTTCTAACTTGAGCATCGGAGTGTTCCCGCCGGGAGAGCTCCCCGGGAATCCTTCATTCTCTTCTTCTCAGGTACCGTCCATCGCCAGTTTGGAATGTGGCCCCCTGCCAGCTAAGAGTGACCAAATTGCGCACCATCAGGCGATGTGGTTTTGTCTTTGTCGAAAGGAGCTTTCTCTCCTACACCAAGTAGTCAACGAAGAGAGTGGGTGAGAGGGAGAGCGAGGGCAAGGAAGAGAGATGGGAAGTTATGGCTATCTCAAAACGAAAGGAAGAGAAGAGCCGATTAGCTTATAGACTGAATGTATTCTTGGTGATTGCTGGTGATGAGGGGTGATTTGGCCTTCCAACTAAATTATATATTATTTTATGACACCTTGGTGCCACGTATAATTAGGTCATACCTGACCAAACCGGCCTAATCCGACGAGCCTGAGTGGATCTCAACCAACAGAAGAATGGTGGGTCGCTCCATGCCAGAATGAAGCACATGAGCTCATAGGAGCAAGCCAATGACATCGAATATCAGTCTATCCTCCCCAACCTAGGCAACCAATGACTTGAGTAGCCAGCCGACCTCTGGGGTATTGGCGAGCTGTCTTTACCTAACCAACACACTTATCAGTTTTTAAATAAACAACGGCACATCACCCATTTGACAGGGATGACCCCGGTTCCCTTCCACTTCATAGGGACTAGATGAGCATCATCACCAACGCTAGTAGAATGTACCCTGAAGACAAGTCTTATCACCCCTAGATATGTTGGGCATGCTACTCGGGCCCTGAAGCCTATAAGAAGGTACCTCCAGGCCTTTACAAGGTACACGTGATAAAGTGCACACAAGCTCTCTTGCTCTTTGAATCCCTTCATTTTCATGCTTTCTAGCCTGGCTACTTAGGCATCAGAGTGCTTAGCCCGGGTCCAAGCCCTTGGGTACTATGATCTATTGTTTCCTACAAATTGGACTGTCGACCTCAACATCCACTCATTCAAGTTGTCCTCCAATAGGGAAGTTGGGCGATTCGACCTATATCAATTGGCATCGTCTATGGGAACTTGAACGAAAAGATAATTCAGCCTCTCAATAGCTTGATTTCAATATGCCTTCACCAAAGAATACTCAAATCAAATGAAACTCTACTAGGGGCAAACACAGGCAATCCAAACCTTAGTGGTTCCTACTAGTGTGGATTATTGGCAATTCTAGGAGTTAGTGCTGTACATGCGAAGCATGGACCTGCACATGCAGTCCTCAGAGCAAACCTTTGCCACTCTCGAGCCAATGTAGGCCCAGGTACCGTGTAGACGCATATGCTGCCCCATAACCAGAACTGAAATGTCAACCGAGTGGTAACTCCACTAGAGGACAGACGTCGACCCCATGACATCTCAAAGAACCCCTATCAAGACCCGAACTTCTAAAGCGCAGGGCACTACTTACGTCCCAAGCAAGGAGGCCAGTATGGCAACCGCCTCGGTCAGGTCGGACAACACGACTTCAGCATTGGGGTTTAGGAAAAATAGGTGTAGGAGGTGCCCCAAGCGTGAGCCTTTCAAGAGTCGGCTCAACACTAAGGTGGAAGATGGTTAAAATGAGCCCAACCAAAAACCAGGAAGCCAACTGGTCTAACAACTTGAGTGTGCCTTAGTTCACTTAGGCTTCGCCCCTATCAGCCTATTAGAAGGGTTAGAAATCAGGTTTGGCCTGACCAAACCAAGTTTGGTGTGTGGCTGAATTTTCAAAAATTTTCTAACCCAATCTGGGAGTCAATTTCTCTGTGATTTTGAAATTTGAAATTTTAAGATCGATCTTACACTAAATCAGACTAGATTTAAAATCCAAAATAAAATTGATCATTCCTGATATAGAAACAACAATGTGAAACTCCCAGAGTGGTAGATTACACCTAATACCAATCCCAAAACCAGCCTCCACTTGAAAATGATGCAGTGTGTATGTGGAGCCAATTCGATAACACTTTTCAACAAAAACCAGTCTCTAACTTGCTTGGATCAAAGTGAGTATGAAAACCTAATAAGCTCTAATGTCTTTCTTTTAAAAAGACAATATAGGACTGATGGAAATCAACCCCTATCAAAGCTAAGTCAAATTAGGGTTTCTACAAGGCAAGAGAGTGGTGAAAAGAACAAGAGAGTGGAGAGAATTGGTATGCTTGCCCCTCCCCTCTTAATCCCTAATATAAAGCACATCACCTAATCTAATTAGAAGCTTATGCAAATCAAATTTGGATCGGGAGTTTATCCTTAATTGATAAGCATTATCTTCTTAAGAGGATAGGTGCTCCATACCCATTTTCAACCTAAGTCATGTGATCTCTTAACTAATCATATTAGTAATGGGCCTTAGGTTTCGGGTTTGGGTGGGTTTAGAGTTTTGGGTAAATTAAGTTTTGGGTTTGAATGGGAGGAAGTTTCTAGTTTTTTTTTTTTTTTGATAAATGAAGTTTTTAGTGATTGTTTTAAAAACCGACAATAGAACCAGACAAGGTTTTCAAAACCAAAAAAGGTTTTTCCCAAGGTGTTGCATGACCACTTTGGGCTTGAATATTGTATGGTAAGGAACCCACAATGGTCTCACACAAGTCCATAAGATTTCACAACTCAAGGTAGTGAGTTCCTGACCCAATCATCTTTGACCTAATTTGGACCCAACATTTACATATACATGATCCTTACATTCAGCCACCC